CAGGCAGTGGGGAGTGTGGTAGCAGCGGTGGCTGTGACCGGTCCGCTGGCGGACACAGCAACGGAGGAGTAGTACCTGCCACAGGGAAGCCAGTAGCACCTGGCGGAAGACTGAGAAGGTGGCGAAGAGCACCAGTAGCTCCCGTACCTCCAGCACGAGCAGCTCCTCCAGTACCCCCAGCAACACCTCCAGCACCAGTAGCACCAGCACCTCCAGCACCACGAGCTCCGACAGCGCCAGCAACTCGAGCACCAGTAGTACCTCTAGCACCTCCAGTGCCTCCAGCTCCAGCTCCAGCGCCTCCAGCACCAGTAGTACCTCCAGTACCTCCTATGCCAGCAGCTCCAGTAGCACCTCCTGCACCTCCAGCACCAGCAGTACCTCCAGCACCAGCAGTACCTCCAGTACCAGCAGCTCCCGCAGCTCCAGCACCAGTAGCACCAGCACCTCCAGTGCCACCAGCTCCAGTACCTCCAGCACCGGCAGCAGCTCCAGTACCCCCAGCACCAGCAGCTCCAGTACCTCCTTCACCACCAGCACCTCTAGTACCTCCAGTAGTACCTCCAGCACCTCCAGCACCAGCAGCACCTCCTGGACTAGTAGCTCCAGCACCAGCAGGACCGTACCCTCCACCACCAGGACTGCCTCGCAGAACGACCCACGCACGAATCGCCTGCGGCGAGAGCGTCTCAAGTAGAGCAGGCTGCGGTGGCTGTCCAGCTCCAGTATCTCCAGTAGTGGTAGCTCTAGCACCTCCAGCTCCAGGACCTCAAGAAGGACTCGCAGCACCCCCAGAGTCAGCACCTGAAGTCTCAGCACCCCCAGAGTCAGCACCCAAAGTCTCAGTACCCTCAGTCCTAGCACCCTCAGGCTCAGCATCCTCAATCCCAGCACCCTCAGTCTTAGCACCCTCAGTCACAGCACCCTCAGGCTAAGTACCCTTAGTCCCAGCACCGTCAATCCCAGCACCCTCAGTCTCAGTACCCTCAGTCCCAGCACCCTCAGTCCCAGCACCCTCAGTCTCTGCTCCAGTGTCCACAGCAGTAGGCTGCAGAGGTGGCGAAGACGGCAGAGGTGGGAACCCAGGGGGGGGTAGCCAGACGAGGAGAGCGGGCACCCCCAGACTCACCACCCCAGCCCCAGGTCCAGTAGTCTCAGCTCCAGAGTCCACAGCAGCAGGCTGCGGAGGCGGCGAAGAGGGCCGTGGCGGGAAACCCGCGGGGGTCGCCAAGCGAGGAGTGCGGCGAGTGGTCGCCGTGTCGTCGGCGACGGCGTCACCCCCCTCAGGTGAGTCAGAGCAGTCAGAAGAGATCTCGACTGGCTCATCCAAGCGGGGTGGGTCTACCTGGGACACACCTGAGGGAGCAGGACCCTGAGGGGGTCTACCGGGGGGGGGACTGGTACCAGGAAGAGGGGTGCAAGGGGGACCGAGTGGGACGCGTGCGGGTGAAGTCGGTAGTAACAGACCGACTCGTCGAAGGTGACGTCTTGAGAGGACAGAACACGACGCGAGGCAGGGTGGTAGAACTGCCAGGGCAGGGCGTCGGTGGGGAAGCCCAAAAAGACACAACGGAGAGTGCGAGGAGAGAGCTTGCTCGCTTTGGTATCGCGAACAAGGGAGAGCGCGTCCCAGACCCGAAACGACGATGCATCACCAGGCTGTCCCGTCCAACGGAGTGTGGGGGAGGTCTCTGGAGCAAAGATACGGGGCCAGAGGTTGGGCTGATGCGCGGCGTATCGGACCGCAAACGGCCACAGGAAATGGGGAGCTGCCGCATGGATCATGGAGGTACGAGCAACCTCCATGATCAGGCCAATGCAACGCAAGGCGATCCCATTTTGCTGCGGAGAGGCCGGAAGCGTGAACGACTGGGCTATGCCCTCATCCTGGCAGACCGTCTCAAGGACGCCAGAAGAGAACTCACCACCACTGCCAGAGTGCAGACGCAGGACTGGGAAGCCCTGCTGAAAGCGCTCGTGTAGCTGGAGACGAGTAGCACGTATTCAGGGGATCAAAACACCGCTGACGTCCACCTTGCGACGCAAGGGGAAGACTGTAGTGTAGCGTGTGTAGTCGTCAACAACCAGCAGGAAGTAGCGCTCCTGGTCCGTCCCACCGACGGGGGCCGGGCCCCACACGTCCAGGTGGAGAGTGTGCAGAGGAGCAGTGGTCGGAGGAAACTCGGAGGAGTGAGGAGCGGCGCGCTGCCGCCCCTTGACGCAAGGAAGGCACGGCGGCGCAAGTGAGCGCGGGAGGGGGGGCAGGGTCTCAGGGAGGCCAGAGACCAGGAGCCGGGAGTGCATGCCGCGCAGACGCTGCAGGGAGGGGTGACCAAGACGGTGGTGCCAGCGCTGAGTCTCGTGCGTGAGTACTCTGCACGAGCAAGACGCAGCTAACTGCCCTGACGCAGACGCTCGACTCGACGCAGCTACCTGACCTGACTCAGCCATCTGTGCAGACGCAGTGGTCAGTGTGTACAGAATAGACCCAGGCTGTCGAGTGAACTTAGCCAGATGACGACCAGTCCGGGAGCACGTACAGATCGCCACACGCTGCCCTCCAGGAATAAAGGTATCAACCCAGACATCCTGAATGGCGCCGTTGCACACCAAGTTCGTCGAGAACGTGGGGAGGTGGAGACCTGACAAAGAGCCGGAGGGGACTGCTGGACAAGGGAGGACCGTGGAGGCTCTCGCAACCACTGGGCCCCCAGAGGGGTCAGCCAGTGAGACTGGGACAGGTGTTGTGAGTGGTGTGACTGTGGTGCAATCATGAAAGAAGCAACGTGACGCACCTGAGTCAAGCGTGAAAGTGTGCAAGACCTCATCTGAGGCAGGACCTGTGGTAGTAAACGCACTAGCACCTAGAGCGTCGGTAGACGCACGGGCACCTAGAGCTGCAGCAGACTCACTAGCGCCTGGAGCGGCAGCAGACTCACTAGCACCTAGAGCAGCAGTCCTAACAGAACGATAACCTCCACCACCAGGACGACCTCGCTGAATAACCCACTCACGAAGCTGCCGAGGGGTGGGGTCGCCGGGAGAAGCAGTGCCCGCTGCTGTAAACAATTTAATTATATTTAGGGTATAGCAGGGCGCTGGCGCAGGGCAGGGCGCTGGCGCAGGGCAGGGCGCGGGCGCAGGGCAGGGCGCGGCGCAGGGCAGGGCGCCAGCGCGCGTAGGGCAGGGCGCTGGCGCAGGCTGCAGCAGTGCGTGACGCGAGGGGCAGCAGAGCGCGACGCGACGGGCTGCCTTAGGGCGCGACGCGCGGGCTGCAGCGGAGCGCGACGCTCGGCTCGGCAGGTCCGCGCGCGAGCTGTAGGGGCGGCGCGAAAGGGCCGCAAAGGCGGCGCGCGGGCTCCAGGGACGACGCGCGGGCTGCAGGGGCCGCGCGGACGGGCTGTAGGGGTGGCGCGCGGGCTCCAGGGGCGACGCGCGGGCTGCAGGGGCCGCGAGGACGGGCTGCAGAAGCGGCGCGCGGGCTCCAGGGGCGACGCGGGGGCTGCAGGGGCCGCGCGGACGGGCTGCAGAGGCGACGCGCGGCTGCAGGGGCAGCGTGAACGGGCTGCAGGGGCAGCGTGAACGGGCTGCAGGGGGGATGTACGGGCTGCAGGAGCGACGTATGGGCTGCAGGAGCGACGTACGGGCTGCAGGAGCGACGTACGGGCTGCAGGGGCAGCGTGAACGGGCTGCAGGGGCGACGTACGGGCTGCAGGAGCGACGTACGGGCTGCAGGAGCGACGTACGGGCTGCAGGAGCGACGTACGGGCTGCAGGGGCAGCGTGAACGGGCTGCAGGGGCGACTTACGGGCTGCAAGAGCGACGTACGGGCTGCAGGGGCAGCGCGCGGACCACAGGGGCAGGCGCAGCTGCAGGGGCAGCACGGTCGTAGGGGCGAGCATGACTGCAGGGGCAGCGCGGTCGCAGGGGCAGCGCACGGGCTGCAAGGGTCGCAACAGTGAGAGCTAGGGGCGCCAGCGCGCTGGCTACTGTGTAGGGCGTGGCGCTACCACTAGGCGGAACGGTGGGCCCATGTAGGAACGGCTCCTACTCTGATAACATGTCAAGAATAGAACTAGGAGTGAATGATTGAACTAGGCAAGAGGTGAGTACAAGTAGGGGAAAGCTAACCCTAAAGTGTTGTACTCACTAAGGAGTGACCCTACTGTAGCCTAGAGATACAATTGCAATTTGACACGGTTTTGCCCCCAACCCACCTTTATATGCTTTGTTTTGAGTGAGCTGCATGTGTCATTGACTTTGGTGGAAACCTACATTTCCATGCCACATGGAGGCACCAGATTCCAACATTAACGATGAAGGAGAATCAGGTGGAATTGGTGAAATCTATTTACCAATTGTTTACCCACTGAAATCTTACACGCGAAGCATTTGCGACTTGATGTTACATTCGCGGTTTAATGTAATACAGTTGCTATAAATATGGCTGCTTTGTACTATGCATGTCTCATACAGAATATTGCAAATTTTCTTGTACTTGATGCAATTCTAACCAAGCACGTTTTCAGACATTTCACTCGCCTTTCTTAGAGCGAATTACGGGTACGGTTCTTACATGGGGCACTATAATGCGTACGGTAACGATTTCAACGCGTTGAAATCGTTACCGTACGCGTTATAGTCTCCCATGTAAGTTACCATTGACATATTTTCCCAATTACGTGTTCTTTGGCTCGCTGTAAAGCCAAGACAGTGCACTATAGCTTGGTATAATTCTCAGTTCTTGCCAACCAGAGGACCGGACTCCTCTTGCATTTAACATGAAATCATGCACAGAAAGAGGGGGTACACGTCGTCAACCAGCAGTTGACACAGCTTGTATCGTACTAATTACAAGTACTTTCAACGGGCAGGTGAGGATTGCTTTAGAGGCAGCAGAGCCGAGCCTTCTGGCTGCCACAGCGCCTCCAGAGCAAGCACCACCAAAGCCATGTTAGTGCTCAGTCCTACAAGTACTAGTTCTGGTGCTGCTGGTAGTTCTAGATACCAGGAGGAATAAGAAGGGTGCTGGTCCCCATAATAGTAAAGTCCGAGCCTACCCACAGGTTCGGCACGGCGAGCACGGACGGCAGCGCGGCGGGGCCTTTGAAGGCGACGAAGGGCTGGAAGTTTGGGCCGCGCTTGGTGACCTGCGTGCCCTCGAGAGTGTCGAGCAGCGTGCCGCCGGGAAGGTCCGTGAGGTTGCGGTAGAGGTAGCGCGTGGTGATGGTGTTGAAGGAGAGAATGGCCGTCTGCTGGTCCGAGTTGTAGTTTCGTAGCACGACGATGTTGGCGGGAATCAGGATTGTGATGTCTGTGAGCGGGATGAGCGATTTCACTGCGGAGGGAGGGAGAAAAGGAGGGTTGTTTGCAGCGAGGTCATGAGAATACGATGGGATATTTTGCGACCACTGCTGACGATTGTTACAAAGAAGTCGAATAGTGACGTAAAAACAGGTGATCTGCAGGATACTCCACGTACGATGCGCAAATTTAAGATTCGGGGAAACAACTAGGGCGATCGCGGCTGACTAGTCAAGAAATGGTGGCGGGATTTGGCTTACAGTATTTGTCGATCAAGTCGTGAACGTTCTTGAATTGCGGCCGCTGCTTGATGCCGTCGCTCGCCTTCCGCACCTCAGTGGCGCGCAGCGCGTGGACGTGGGAGATGCTAGCTAGTAGTAGTAGCGTGGACAGCGTGACTAGAACGAAGGCAGTTCTTGTGAACGATGCCATTTCTAGGACGAAGGTGATGTTTAAGAAGGGTATATACAAATGTCGTCTTGGTCGCGTTGATTCTGATGCAGAATGCGCGAATCGGAGGGTGCTGAAGTTGAGTTGGGAGCGAATGAGAAATGGAAGTTTGAGTTGGCGGTTTATCAATGAGAACGAGATCTGTGTGCTGATGAGAAAGAATGTCACTTGAGTTGCACAATTGTACAATTATTGCATCCCCCCATCCCCACGCGCCGCGCATTTTTGCTCCAACGTAGCCCTTGAGACCATTCGGCCGCGTCGCCCGGCGGGATGCTTCTTAGCGATTTCGAACTTCCTCGCAGCAACGAATGGTAACTAGGGCATTCCTGGACGGTCACTTCGCGAGCGCGTTTCGCGTTCGGTGGCGAAGATTCTGCCTCTCTGTAGGGCAGTCTGCATTACGGCAGTTCGTTTCTGGAGGCAGTTTTGTCGTTTGCGAGATTCTCAACGCTGAGCGGCGAAACTGTCGCCTAGACGCTGTTCGTGTCGGCTACAAGGTGGTGTTCCACCACTTGTTTGTAGGTGCCATTATAACGGTGAAATGGCCCAGTGTCTGCCTTGATTCTTTACAATCGAAAAATAGCAAGCTACCTTCAGATTATACCATATCAATTAAACTAGTATGGATATGCAAACCAGGCACAAATAGATTGGGAACAAATAAACTATACGTCCCTTTGAAGCACCAATTGCATTTGATGTTTCACAAAGCAGCGTCGCAATCATATTCATGTGCTCACAGCCTTACCCGCCCTCTTCCGTGGATTTCCCTCCGTTTTATTCCTCCTCAACTCCCCTCCCATACACTCATCATCTTCTCCCCCGATCTCCACCGCACCCATTTCCTGTCCAAACACCACCATGCCGCTGCCACCACGAACAAGCATACCCCCATCACCATCAAACCCTCTGCTCCCACCATCCCCATTCCTGCTACTATAAATCGCCCCCTTTGTCACAGGAGCCCCCGCCGCATACCGTACTGGCATAACCTCTCGATATGAGCTTGACGGTGGAAGAGGTGGGGGGTTGTGCGTGCTGAAGAGTCGTGCCGACAAGCCTCTGCTGCCACTGCCAAGAGAGCTTGCAGAAGGAGCAGCAGTGGCAGGCCGTATAATTACATGCTCGCTCATGCTCCAGTGCATCGGCCTTGGGTGAAGGCCGATAGCGGGCGAGGAATAGGTGCCACTGCCAGCCCAAGCGCTGTGCAGCCGGGAGGGATGGATTGCAGTAGTTTCAGCAGCAGCAGAAGCAGTGGCAGCAGCAGCGGCAGCCGCGGAAGCGGCAGCGGCAGCGGCAGTGGATGTGGAGCGGTAAATGCTGGTCTGGGCAGCATTTGCATGCCTGAGTGCACCCCACCGAGCGTCTGACTCGGACAGCCCTTGCGTACGCTCCACAGCTACTCCAGCGACCACAGCAGCAGCAGCCACAATCCCCTCGTCCCCAAACGCATCAGCAGAGGCCGACACCGCGGCTGCCGCAGCAGCAGCAGCAGGACCGACTCCTGCCCATGAAACAGGTAGTGACGATAGGGACCTCCGTGCAGGGGCCACCCCTCCACCTCCTCCCACAGCCACTGCTGCTGCTACTGCTGACAAGTTCCTGCCGCTGCTGCTCCTCCCAGCAATGCTACTGCTGCTGCCGCTGCTGCTGATGCGGGGAAACGCTGCTGGCTGCATGGCAGAAACAGAAGAAGAATGAGCGGTCATGGGGTAGAACGGAGGAGGGGTGCTGTCAGGAGTGCTTCTAAACCGCGCTGAAGCAGTGCCTTCCGTGAATGAACCGAAACTGCTTTCCCTCCGCACGCCAGCATCATCCCACTCCCTCATTGCCCCCATGCTACTCTCCCTCCTCAGTCCAGAACTCTTCTCTCCTCCAAATCCCACACTACCCACCCTTCTCAATCCCACACTACCCTCCCTGGTCAACTCCACACTGTTTCCCTGCCTCATCCTAGCAGCAGCACCGCCACTCTCCCTAGGCACCATCCGAGCGCCATCATCCTGTAAGAAGTCGAAGCTGCCCTCTTGCCACGAGCTGAAACTGCCACTACCGAACGACCGCACACCGCAGTCCCTCCTCTCCCGCCGCTCGCCTCCCCCATTCCCTGCTCCTCCCACGGACGCGCGCGGCCCCACACCCCTGCCTCCTGCTGCTGCTGTAGCAGCTGAGCGGGTTTCCACAGCTTGAACCATGGTCAGCCTCCTGCCACTGAATGAGCGTGCGCCATGCGACACTGATTCGCCACTGCTTGATGCGCCTCTTTGCAACGACCGCCCGTGGGACGACCCGGCCCGAGATGGCATTGCTCCTTCACCTCCACCACCAGCAACAACCTCCACCCGGCCATAATTAGCAGGACCGCCACTGCCTCTGCCACCGCCGCCACTTGTGCCACCAGCGCCAGCACCTGTATTCCCACAGCCATTGCCACTAATAAGATTGAATCCCTCACTTCCACTCCTGCTTCCCTCTCCCTCACCTTCCCACTGCTCCCCCTCTTCCTCGCCCTCCTCTTCCTCCTCCCCCGCCTCGTCCCCCTCTTCCTCCTCATCCTCATCCTCCTCCTCCTCCTCATCATCATACTCCTCCTGCTCTATCTCTCTCTTCCGCGCCACCAGCCATTCATGAGCCCGGAAGCAGCTGCTGATGCCCATCCTGTCCTCAAGTGAGCGGAGGAAGAGAGGGGTGGCAGTGCGCCACTCGCCAGGGCCCTCCTCCAGCCCCTCCTGAGCACCAGAATATCGCCGGGTTGCTGCGCTGGTAGGGATACCAGCACCATAAGCACCAGCACCAGCAGCGGCAGTACCAGCGCCAGCAGCTGCAGCAGCACCAGCGGCAGCAGTGGTAGCTCTTGGCACAGAACCTTGAAGTGGGCAAGGCTTGACGGGCCGACCTGCTGCTGCTGTTTCATGCGTGTTTTCATGCCCGGAGTGCCGCTGCTGCGGCTTCCGCTGTCGTTCCTGCTGCTGCTGCTGCTGCTGCTGCTGTCTCAGAGGCAGGTTGGTGTCCTCGCTGCGGCTTCGCAATGGGGAGGCGGACCGTGCGAGGTGCAGAGGGGAGCGGATGAGCGGCAGAGGGGAGTGCGAGCGAGGGGAACGTGCTGCAGGAGCTGTGGCGTGCCGTTGCACAGCAGCAGGGCTGCGGACCCTGTCAGGAGTCCTGCATGGGGTGGTGGCGAAGGGGGAGCGAGCAAGAGGGATGCAACGTGTGGGAAAGCGAGGAGACACCGGGGGAGAGAGCGCAACACCAGGGCCTAAAGCCAGCTCGTGTGCTGTCTCTCCTGCTTCTGCTTCTGCTTCTGCTTCCTCCATGTCTCCTCGGCTTCCTCCTCCGTTCCTCCATCGATCCGCACTCCCTCGCCCCTCCGCCTCACCACTCTCCTGTGTGTTGCTGCCTCTCATGCCAAACCTGCTGCTGCTGCTTCTGCTGCTGCTTCTGCTCCAGCTTTCAGGCCGGTCTTTCCAACTGTGCTGCCTGCTCCTATCCTGATAGCTCCCGTGTTGCTGCTCCTGTTGCCTTTCCTCTCCCTTCTCCACCTGGAACGCTTCAAAGCCTGCTTCCAACCGTCCTGCTCCAGCTCCCCCACCTCCTGTTGATGCTTCTTCCACCGCTTTAACTGCTCCTGCTCCTCCTGCTCCTCTTGTTGCTGTCGACTCGTCTGCTCTCCCGGGTGCCCTGTCTTTCCCCCCAAGCCGGTCCGGACTAAGGTACTTCAACACAGCCGAAAGGTTCTCACTCTTGTGCCTCTGAAGATACTTCACCCCCTCTTTCACTCCCTCCCTCACTCTTCCTCCTCTCGCCCCGCTCCCCACCTCCCCTCTGAGCTCCCACCCTCCCCTCCTCCCCCCTCTCAACCCTCTCTTGGCCTGTTCCCTGATTGAATCCACGGAGAGAGGGGAGCGCGGGAGAGTGGGGGGCGAGGTGGGGGGAAGGGAGGAGGGGAAGAAGGGGGACGAGGGGGAGGCGGGAGGATGCCGCGGGAAGGAGGGCTGGGCGGAGGGGCCGGGGCTATGTGGGACGGATGGGGTGCGCGGGAGAGGGGTGGCAGGGTGGGACATGGGCAGGTGGGAGCGGGGCGGCAGGGTGGAAGGGAGGTTGGTGTTTGGGACGGAAAAGGCAGTAAAACTGACAGCACTGCTGGCAACATTGCTGGCAGGATTGGTGGCAGCAACGGCATTGCCAGTAGTACCAACAGGATGGCCCAGCCCTTCAGCGCTGACTGTGGTTGAGGCATCCGCACCTGCACTGGGAAGTCTTCGAAGAGCAGCTGATTCGCTCGATCCCAAGGGTTCCAAAAAGGTGAACTCAGCAGCAGCCAGCACGCCGCTACCCCCACCACCACTCCTGCCGGCCAGCCCTCTCCCACTGCTGTCACTCGCACTGGCGCTGCTAATGCTACTCCAACCAAAGCTGCTGCCGCCGCTGCTGCTGCTGGTGCTCGATCTGCTGCCTCTCACGTTCATCCTTCCGCCACCGCTGCCACCGCCACTGCTGTTGCTGCTGCCGTTGCTGCTGAGAGCGCTCCACCTGCTGCTCGCCTCGCTTGTCACCCCCACCGTGCTCCTCCCACTGCCCGTCGTGCTCCATGCTCGGCTGCTGCTGCTGCCGATGCCAGTGCCATGCCCGAACCCAACCCCACTCCCAATGCCGCTGCCGCTGCTGCTTCTGCTGCAAGGGGCGTTTCTGGAGGCGATGCCATTCGTGCCGCTGCTGCTGTTGCCCGTTGTGGTGCTGATGGTGCTGCAGCTGCTGGTGTTGCTGCTGCGGCGGGTGTGGCTGCTTGTGTTAGCGAGCAATCCATCAGCAGCAGCAGCATCAGCACAATCAGGAGCAGAAGTAGCGCTATTAGAACAACCACTAGAATCTTCTCGGCTCATTTCCTCCTGCCCAATAACACCACCACTGCCTGCACTCGCTTCCCCACAACCCCTCTCCTGCCCCCCCTTCTGGCCCTGGGTCAGCAACCTTGCTGTGCCACTCTCGCCGCCACCTTTCACGTGCCTGTCGCTCCTGCTGCTGCTCTCAACCATGCTGTTCCTCGCCTTGATGCCGCTGCTGTTAGTGTTTACAACACTGTTACTATTGTTGCAAATCTTATTATTGTTACTGTTCCAAATTCCAGTAACTGCAACACGCAGCCCATTCAAGCTCGCGCGCGGCCCTTCCCCGTGCCCGCGCCCCCGCCTGCGCGTCCTCCCCCCCTTGGTGCCCCCCACGCCCACCTTCTCTTGCCCCACCAGCTCCACAACCAACTGGAATTTGTGCCCTTCTGGTGCGCAACGCGACACGCGGAGCAATTGCGCAATCCCCTTCCGCAACTCATCCTCTCTTACCTTTCTTTGCGCATTTCCCCCCTTCGCTTGCTGATTCGACTCCCCGCCTCCGCCTTCGCCTGCTTCCGCTGCTGCTATTGCTGCCGCGGCAATTGTTTCCGCGGAAGCGCCCCCCCGCGGCCCTGCCTGCGTGTACTTGACCCAAATTCGTTCGAGGATGCCCGACTGGAATATTTCGCATTCGGGCAGCCATGGTTCCGGGTGCGCGTTGAGGTGAAAGTACAGCTGCCACGAGGCGTGCGCCTGGGCCGCCAGCGCAAGCGCATGCGCGGATCCGCAGACGGCTTGCGCGGGGAGCCGAGGACGCGGCAACGGACGGAAAACTGTCCGGAACGAAGCGCGAGCGCGAGCGCGAGGCGACGGTCGGGGGCAAGATTGGGGAGAGGCATCGCCCGCGTGGCTTCGTTGATCCCTTTGGTCTTCTTTTATCGCACGGAAATGATCGCGGTCCTCGCGATCTTCGCGACCCTCGCGATTCGCGCGATTGGCCGAACACGAATCCGCTGCTTCGCCCCCTTGATCCGCGGAATTATCATCCCGCACCAAAAGCCACTCCTGCAGCATTTCCAGTGTCCCCGGCAGGACCGCCGGAAGGTCTTCGATGCTTTCTAGCTTCGACGCTAACGGATCGTCTCCCGAAATGGCTATCAGCTTCCACGTCAGTCTATCGTCGATCACTAGCGGAATCGCGCCGAGCGGTTTGACCGCGTATACCTGGCCAACCCGCGCCGGCTGCTGCCCTATTTCTATCACCTCAATCGGAGCAGCGGATAGCGAGTCAGGACCGTTAGGTCCGTGGTCGTCTGATCTGCTTGTAGCGAGTCGCTCCATCTCGAACCGCTCGAGCAAAGAGAGCTCCAAGTCTTGCTGCTTCTGCCAACCGAGCCGCGAGTCAGGTAAATCACACGACCAATCATCCGTTGCTGCCACGTCATCCTCCACACTCTCTACGACTCTTCCCTTCGCCTTCCCCAGCCCAGTACCGCCTCTGAAACCCCACCCGCTTTTTCCCGAGCGCTTACCCCCGTCCCCTCCCGTTGCGGACTGCCGCTGCTTGTTGCAGCTTGTTCGATCACCGCCTCTCTGCCCTCCTTCTCCACTTCCTCCTCCGTCGCCGGCGCCGCCGGAGCCGCCGCCGTCGCCGCTAGGATCGCGGGATGCTGGGGTTCCAGGAGCAGGAGGACGTCCGGCGGAACGATTGACGGGAGCGGAGCAGGGGCAAGCGGAAGCGGAAGCGGAGGCGGAGGCGGTGCGGGTGTCGGAGGGTGGCGCGCGGAACAGTGTGGACTCGTCGACTGTCTGCGGCAGCACACCGTGGTTCCACAGCACGTTCCCCGCGTAATGCGCTGGTACTTGTGCTACCGCCTCGCATGGCGCGCGTTTACGCGGGGCCCGTGTTACAGTGGCGGTCGGACTGTCGGAATGCCGCGCCGCGGCGAGTTCGTTGTCACCGTCGAGATCGCCATCGGGTTTATCTCCGTCGCCGTTGTCGCATGCGATGTCGTTACTACCCTGCAGCAGCTGCACCTGCATCTGCGACGCTGCGAATCGCAAAGGCGTGTAGTCCTCGTCGCGCGCGATCTCCATCTTCGCCCACGTCGCCACGGGCGTCGTGCACACGAAATGCACCAGCGTGTCGCACGCCGCGTACAGCGGAATGTGGTGCCACGGCGACAGCAACCTCCCCGCTCCATCCGCGAACATCATGCGGTAACCCAGACTCCCCGCTTCCCCGAACTGTGCCGTGCGCACGCCCCCCCATGTTGCGTCCGGCGTGCGCGGTCGCTGCAGCACGAATGGACGCGTGGTGCGCGGAGGCGGAGGGGGAAGGGTGGGCACGGGGGGAGGGGACGACGGGCGGGATAGAGGATGATGCGCTGGCGGGTGAGGGGAGGGGAGACCCGCCGCCGCGGGCTGGCACGAAAGGATAGCGGGCGGCATGGAGGGCAAGCCTCGGCGTGACTCTGACTGGGCCGATGGGCCGATGGATCCCACGGAAGCCAGTTGGAGCCTCAGGATTGGCTACGTTAAAGGGCAATATCGAGGTGCGGAGAACGGTTCGGATTGGTGGCACCGCCAACTCGCATTCTAGATCGCATCGTAATGCAAACTTCACCTTTCCAATGACCACTCGAGTGCATTTTCATCTTTCGTCAGTCGAGCGCAGCCCTCCTGGACCCCGCAGGCGAGTATCTACAATACTAGTAGAGCTGACGTGTCCTATGCCGGCCTCATGTGCCTTGCCGTTCTACGTAAAACGTGAAAACGATCCATGGCGGAATGGATCGGGACGCGGAGCGAAGGTGTGTGACGAGAAGAGATCCTCTTTTCGTTCTTACGGACCGCTCATGTGAGGCAGCTACTCTACAGTGATGTGATTGGCGGTGCGAGCTTCATCAGAACGAGTTTTGGCTGCTTCAAAGGTCTCGAAAAACAAGATGCATGCTACAAGCCGAATCTCGTTCACCCCCAACTGGTTGCGACGGGAAGCGTTTTGGGGTTGTGGGATCGGGACAGGAGACTCGGGGAGTTGGTTGGCTGACTCCGAATGCCGTAGTGGTGCAGTTGAAAAAGCTGATTGCTTCCACCCAGAGGAGGAGGTGGACGAGGTCATCCACCACGCTTCGAGAAATTTACCGAGAAGTCACTTGGTTTTGGAACTCCAATGGGCTCCACTGTTGGCAAATGAATAACGTGGTCCAAAAAAATCAAACTAGAGACAGTGACCAGATTCACGAGCACATTCTACTGTACGAGGGCACAATTATGCCAGTCCCACTTGATTTTTTCATTGGCTGAGGCAGAAAATTCAGTACTTTTCTATGTTATGTAAGAGTTGTGTAATAAATGTAACAATTTCAGTGGTTACTGTATTACCATATCTATATATACGCACAGCTAACAATATTTAAACATTATAAATTATACACACGATGTGATTTTACATCTTATATATTTCAAAATTCTCATACTCTATTTCTTCTGAATAGTGATGTATTTAGAGGTGTATATTTTTTATTTAACTCATTTCATATCAATAAGCAACATTGTACACTGTATATTGTACAATATTACATTGCTTTTAATGCAAACTTTCTATAATTATTTGTATGCAACAAATGCAATCAACAAGAAAATGTTTTTTGAAACTACTCAACTCTTTTAACAACTTTAGATTGTCTTATTCTATCTAAGATTATATCTCAGAATAGAACCTTATCAAATTTAATCTCTATAAAAAAAAATACAAAAAAAAGTTTGTATTTCCCTTTGTAAATTTGCGTAATTTGAAATATATATTGAAAACAAAAAATAGATTCCTTCCATTTGTTATACCGATTGATTTTTATCGAATCTTTTTCATTTCTACAAGTGAATGAAGGTGAGCACAGTCAATATAGTACAATATATGGCATTTGATTGTTATTTTGTTTTTGTTTTCTAGGTTCATGTTGGTTTGTTTATCATACCAAACTATATATAAAAATATTTTGGATCGTTTTATACAATACAGTATAGTTTTATTCTCTGTACTTTTAAAAATGGATAGATAGTATTATATGGACTCTGTTCCCCTCTAAAATTTCTACGTTGCTTTTTTTAGTGTGGAAATGTTGGCTAAACACATCAATCTTTTTTTAATGCTAGTCATTATCTGTATACAGTTGAAGTTGGTAAACTATTAGCTCAGTCAAAATCAATTGCATTGTGTGAATAAATTGCAGTTTTGGGGCTGAACGGGTTTGCGGTTCCGCTTCTGGGATCGCTTGCCTCGTCTGTTCCGTCACAGCCGTCCATCCGTCAACGTGGTCCTGGGATGTTTGCTTCTGGTCAGATGGCATACGGATGGATGGTGGTGCTGCTCCAGAAGGGGCACTGGTTGGTTGGGCAGGGCAGACGGGAAGGAAGGCGGACCATTCAGACGGAAGGAGAGGCGACAAAGAAGAACCACGTCGAAGCCAGGAGGAACGAATGGTGAAAGTGTAAATGCCAATAATTATCTCAATGTGTAAACTTTGGAATTACCGTAGCATGCGTTGTCCCACAGTGAACACCTTATGACCGCGTTGTTGTTTTCCTTCGTAACAGCTTGACCCTCACTGACCAGCGTTGTTGATTTGCGTGGCATGAAAGGTGAGAATGATTTGATCCGGGTGAAACTGAACCTGGCCTGTGATGCCTCACAGGTTGGATATACACCTGTTTCGCTCTACAAAAAGATCCACATTTAATGATTTGCTGTTAGAAGCCCACTGCGACAAAGTTAGCGTTGTCAAACACGTTAGAAACAACTCTGTATCAGTGCGATTCAAGGAGGTGAGATACGTTTAAAAGAGGTCTGCTAACGTTTTGAGAAAAAAAAAAAAAAAAAACATTTGAAACCTTGTCTCGCCAGTGTCACCTTCTAAGGACAAATATAGTAAGGTCTTACGGGTGGCGCGGCAATATCAGCCCACTTTGTCTCCTACCCCGCCAGCTCCATAGCCAACTATAATTTATTCCCTTCTGACGCGCAATGCAACACGCCGAGCAAACGCGCATCCCCTTCTGCAACACATCATCGCTTTCTTTTGTTTGCGCATTTCCCCCCTTCGCTTGCTGATTCGACTCACCGCCTCCACCTTCGTCTGCTTCCGCTGCTTCTATTCCTGCCGTGGCAATTGTTTCAGCGGAGCCCCAACACAGCCGTGCTGCATGTACTTGGCCCAGATTCGTTCGAGGATCCTCGACAGTAGTATTTTGTATTCGAACAGCCAAGGTTTCGGGTGCGCGTTGATGTGAAAGTACAGCTGCCTCGACGCGTGTACCTGCACCGCCATCGCATGCGCGGATATGCACACGGCTTGCGCGGGAAGTCGAGGACGCGGCGACGGGCTGTCCGAAACGAAGTGCGAGGCGGCGGAAGGGGGCAAGATTAGGGAGAGGTATCGCCCGCGTGGCTTCGTCAATCCCTTTGGTCTTCTCTTATGGCACATATACGATCACGATCTTACCGGTCTTCTTGACCATCTCGACTCTCGCGATCTGCCGAACACAAATCTACTGCTTCTCTCCATGTGATTGAGATTGCCCTTCAGCCCCAAGCCCTCAGCGACCATGATGGCCGACTGGTTGTCCACACAAAGGACACTCGGTGTCCCAGCATCGAGCAGCTAGAACTCTGCAAGAAGGAAGCGAAGACGTCGTGTCAAAGATAGTAGGAGTACGGCCTAGGCTTAGTAGCCTAGGCCACAGTAGGACTAGAACGAGGAGGCGCCAAGTACGAGCTAGGATTGTGTGCAGGAACAGAATTGAGAAGGAATGATTGAACTAGCAAGCAGCAGGATACAAATGGCAAACCCTAAGGGGCTGTACTCACTATTGAGTACCCCACTGCAGGCTACACAAACAACATATTCTGACACACCCCCATAGCCAAAGTGGGGTGAAATCAGCACAATGAGGAGGCAGTGCAATAGTTCACAACTATCAGCAAAGCTAGAGGCTATCACAGAGGGCAAGTGAGGAGGAGGAGGGACTATGAGAGGAGAGAAGATGGGAGGCGACGACTGAAGCTGCAGACACACGGGCAACAGAAGCGGCTGACACAGTGGCGGCTGACACAGCGGCTACTGAGGCAAGGGCCCCGGACTACTGGAGTAACTGGCTCTGCGGCTACGACGAGCGGCAGAAGCAACGGACCCACGCGCGACTGGTGCAGCATGCTCTCTGAGCTACCGGCGACAAGGGCCCCGGAATACAGGAGTAACAGGCTCTGCGGCTGCGACGAGCGGCAGGAGCAACGGACCCACGGGCAACAGGTGCAGCAGGCTCTCTGAGCTACCGGCGACAAGGGCCCCGGAATACAGGCGCTGCGGACGACACGACGGCTGCCTCCACTCAACCTCCCCCAACTGCCCCACACCCCTGTCACACACCCCCTGCTTCACCCCTAGTTCCACTCCCACATCACCCCCTAGTGCCCCTCCCCACGACTCCCACACCTCCACCCCCCTCAGCGGCAGCTGCAGCAGTGGGAGACGAAAAAGGAGGAGGGGAGAACCCACACCTCTCACCCCCATGCTCGCCACCCCACACCCCAACCACCGCGGAACGCACGGTGGAATGGGAGCAATGGGCAGCACGGGGGGGGGGGGGGGGGGAGGGGGACGGGACGGGCTTCTGCAGGGGCGGCTCGCGCGGGTCCTGGGGCGGCTGCTGCAGGCACGGGCTGCTCCAGGGGCGGCTGCTGCAGGTGCGGGCTGCTCCAGGGGCGGCTGCTGCAGGTGCGGGCTGCGCCAGGGGCGGCTGCTGCAGGTGCGGGCTGCTCCATGGGCGGCTGCTGCAGGTGCGGGCTGCTCCAGGGGCGGCTGCTGCAGGTGCGGGCTGCTCCAGGGGCGGCTGCTGCAGTGGCGGGCTGCTCCAGGGGCGGCTGCTGCAGTGGCGGGCGGCTCCAGGGGCGGCCGCCGCAGTTGAAATGCAGGAGGAGGGGGGGGGGGGGGGGGGGGGGGGAACGCACGGCCCCCAGGGCGCCCCGAGGGGCGACGAGAAGGGAGCCGCGCGGCCCCCCCCCCGGGGAGCCGCGACGGGCACCAGGGAGGGCGCCGCGACGGGCCCCCAGAGCCACCTCGACGGGCGACGGGGAGGGCGCCGCGCGGGCCCCCCGAAGTCGCCTCGACGGGCGACGGGGAGGGCCGCGCACGGCCCCCGAAGTCGCCTCGACGGGC